AGGAAGACCGGCGGGGAAGCCTCGCCAAGGCCGCCCAGGCCTTTCGCTTTTCTGGCCCGAGGCGGTCTTGTCGAGAGGCACCCTGAGCATGAACAGAGCGCCCTCGCGGACCGCCCCCAGCGCCACGCTTGCAACGCCTCCCTCTGGCTCGCTTCCCTCCCCTCCTTTCTTTGCAATGGATATAGACAGATGGCACCCTTGGCTTGTGTCTCACAAGGGCGCCTCTGAACATGGGCAGAGTGCGCATTCCTTATCCAGTGCAGGGAGGGCTTCATTTCCCCTTTCTTACAAAATAAAGGCCCGAGGGCCAGATACCTGGCTGAGCTTGGGAGACTGAACACTTAATGCAAATATTCAGGGTAAAAGAGAAGGCTAACAGCCATAATGTGCGGCTTTAAATGCACAATTAGAAAGGATCCTTTTAAATGACTTAGCATTAAGAGCGCATTTTATGTGTGTGCTGATCTCTATGGACACGGGCAAAACGAAAAATCATTTCAGGGCATAAAATTGCATGCGCTGATCTATAAGGATGCGTATGCAAGCCGAAAGGATTTTGAAATAAGTGCATAAAATGGCCTGTGCTAATCTCTAGGTAAAATTGCAGCATGAGAAATCACTTAAAGCAGAATTATGGTGCATCACAATATAGAGTGTGAGAGACAAGTGACCAGTGCTTGCAGTTCAGTCCGCACTGTCCAGAGGCTATCCATCTCTCTGCTTTTTATGAAGATAATGAAGCACCGTGTGGCTAGCAGGTTTTATTGGACATAAGCTTTCATGGACTCCAGCCTGGCTCTGCGGGCCTCTCGGTACGCATTTATCCAGCAACGGTGAGGTTAGAAGATCAAACACACGGAGAAATGAAGGACGCTCAGCACATTAGTGGTTAATTAGTGGCCAAAACACATACAGTTGATTATTCTTGCAAGGGAACAGATCGGAATGGTGGTGCTGGGTAAGACTTGTGCTTAAGTCAATGGAGGGTGACGGGTGTGTAACGACATAGATGAAGAGATTAGCACACCCGAGGTGGGAAAAAGGGCTTGGGTTTAAGACAAGCGTCATGGAAGATTAGGGCTCACGGTTGGATGGGCTTAGATAGGGTTCTACGCTCACCGGCTCTGCCAGGTTTGGACAATGTGGCAGGAGGGTGCCGATCCAGGCCAACCTGCAGAGATGAGCTGATTAATATAATGGGATAAGAAGCAGCCCGCATCTTTATTTAAGCCGAGAGAGTCCAAGAAGCGCTTTTTGGATTCTTGTTGACTGTCTGCGATCTGTCTTTGAATTTCCTTTTCTTCAAGGATGGTCACCCCCCAGGTCAGTGACAGGGTATAAATCTTCTGTCTGACCCAGGTGTCACCCCCCAGGTCAGTGACAGGGTATAAGGACCTAAATCTTCTGTCTGACCCAGGCGTTGTGTCTCTGAGCATGCGCAGAGAGTGCCACCATTCAACCAATACAGCACTTGGGAAGAAGTCATGCTTGTCTTTTCTTTAAGTCCTTTATTGCTGTTGTTGTTACGTACTATCAAGTAATTTCTGTCCCTTTGCCCACCTACGGCTGAACAAGGATTTGAACTCGGGTCTTCCAAGCCCTGCTCTAACAATCTGTCCATTTCACCCTGCTGATTTTCACGTCCTTACTACAAAAGGATAAAACCAGGGAGGCCTCCGAGCACCTGCTTGCTACAGAAATCATGGGACACAGATTATTATAGATCATAATTTGAGCTGAAAGAGGGTTTTACTGTAAGAGAGACAAGCGTCAGGCGGACTTGCTACCAGATGTTTCAGCAACCGGACTGCAAAGGGATCCCATGCTTAAAAAACAAAGCCTGCTGATCAAATCTGGGATATCGGAGACACTGTTGCTGTGATGCTAACAAACTATCAGCCCTTAAGGACTCCCATTTTCTAAATACAGGTTATGTATAACACCTTTGTGCCCAGAGTTTAGAATTAACTTGGAAGAAGAAGAAAAAAATTAGGACTTAAGTGATCCTTCTCCAAACTGGTGGTCTTCATTTAGTTCCAGGAGGGTGACTGTTGCCCCTCTGGAAGTTTTCCCGCAGTTCTTTCTTGTTCCTTGCTGCGCTCTGCGTTGCCTCTGAAGGTGGCAGAGTTCTGGCTCCAGGCAGGAGAAGGAGAAATCGGTCAGGACGTGACTTCACTCCCTTTGTGTGGCGGACGGTGCCAGCTTTCCCACAGTGCCTTGCAGCCGCCTCTCGATCGCTTCCAGATGTTAAGGCCCCAGCGTCGTCTCCCCCTCCTCTGTCTGGCGAAAGCTGTGGTGGGGTTGCGCAGCTCCTGGCGGCTTGTCTTCCTCTCGGGCAAACCGGGGGGGGGGGAGGAATGGTCCGGGTGCCTGGAGATGTTTAACTTGGCCGGAAGCAAGCAGAGGGCAGTTGGCTCCAGATGTGCCGCCTTCTACGGGTTGGATGGAGCCAGCTGGAAAGTTCTGGAAAGAGAGGACCGATGTTACACCCGTACGTGTGAGTGTGTAAATGTCCTCTGCAGCAGTGAGTAAATTCAACAGTGTCTAGCTGCGTTACCCCAAGGACAGAGCACTTCCAATGTTGCTAGCCCATCCCGTCGTCTTATTATTGAACATCTACAGGAAACTGCTGGGAGACGTTGTTCCCAGTTCGGAGTTCTGTGTCTACAAAGAGGTATGCCTTTGTAGATGGGACATCTAGATCCCATTCCAAAGCCATTCTGTAGCAATTCTGAGATGATTGGTTATATTATTCTGCCACTGTTTACTTGTCACACACTTGCTTCGCATGGGGCACGATGATCACTAGGGCCTTGTAGCACTGCCTTGCCTGCTTATTCAGCATCCTGGCTGGTGTTTGGAAGGAAAAAGGTGGGGTAAAGATATTTGAAATAAAATAATAAATAAGTAATACACGGAGTTTTTAACAACCTTGCCTGCTGCCTTTAGTAGGTCTGGTTGGGAGGAACCTTTCTGGACTGGCTGTCAATCTACGTAACACTAACCAATTGTTCCCTTCCAGCCTCGGAATTCAAAGAGAGCCCCGCCTCTCCCCTGAGTGTTCCTTTCCTTCTCTTGACTGTGTTGAAGTCCGTTGTTTTGTTTGCTCTTAATCGGTTCACCACTGTAAGCAATGAAATGTTTTTATTTTTCCTCCTAAAAATGTCTCAGTTACTGAGACTTTAAGTGCTGGCTAATGGGAAAGGGGTGGACTGTCTGGGGAACTTGTAGCTATTCTTCTTTGTGGATCATTGTACTTCTACCACACAGCAAAAGGAATTTTACTAGAAATACAATTCTGCAACAGATGACTCAGGCACACATCTCCCATGCTTTCATGGCCTCCTTCCTAAATGAGGCAGCTGCTGCTCACAAGAATCAGCAAGCTGGTGACATGGACTTGATTTCCGTGTCTTGCTCTCTGATATTTCGAACCCAGCACCATTGCTTACGGTGGCACTCCAGGTAAGACCCTTCAAGGATCTGTGGGATGCCACCAAAAACCGAGAGGGGAAAAGAGGATGTGGATTTGCATTAAGTGGCATCTGCTGATCTGTATGTGCCAGTGTAAAACGGGAAATGAGTTTCATCATTTAAGCAGAATGACTGTGCATTGTGTGTTGAATCATAGAAAAATGGAGTTGGGAGGGGCCTTTAAGGCCATTGAGTCCAATCTCCGTGCAGGAATATGAACAAAGCAGACCTGACAGACAGTGGTCCAATTTTGTCTTGAATTCCTCCAGCGTTGGAGCGCTCACTGCCTCTAGATCATGAGCTCCATTGTCGTACTGCTCTAACTGTTAATAGGTTTTTCCCGATATTCAGCCAGTCCAGGGCCAGATGCCTCATTTGGGGCCCGGACGCAGGACAGCTAGGCATCATACAGTCAGGAGGGTACCCAAAGGTCATCTAGTCGACCCTACTAGGAATGCAAAATCCCACATGTGAAGCATCCCAGACAGAAGGCCGCCCGGCGGATGTTTAAACAGAGGAGGCTTCGCTTTCTTCCAAACGACTCCATCTCCCCAGGCTCCCACATGTGAAGCATCCCAGACAGAAGGTCGTCCAGTGGCTGTTTAAACAGAGAAGGCTTCGCTATCTTCCAAAGTACTCCCCAGGGAACAGCTCTTCCTGTCAGGATGCTCTTCCTAATGTTTAGGCACATTTTTTTCATACTGTTGGATTCCATCGGTTTGGGTCCCACCCGCTGGAGCAGCAGGAAACCAGCTTGGTCCACCTTGTGATCATCCCCCCCACCGGGATCCAGACGGGGAGGGCAGACCGACCAAGAAACCACAGGCCACAAGATGGAAATACATTTGGGTTTTAATGGAGGAAGCGTTCCATGGAGGCGCCGGACTCGCGTACCATTTTGGCCCCGTGGCAGCCAGGGTGTGTGGGCTTGGTGGCCGCCGAACCCCTAAGGCCAAAAGGAGCATCCCCAG